CCGATGGCGTCGGCTCTGTAGGCTGTGGTGAGTGGGTTCCTCACCGTCCCTCCTTGACTCCTCTCCGTCCTTCAGTGTTGGGTACTAAGTGCGGACCTCACCTCCTGAATTAGCCGCACTCAAGCCCCCTCCAGCGCTCACCATATACAATGTTTCACTGACTGTTTTTGCCCTTCTTCTCCACTAACCATGAGTTCCCTGCAAGAAGGGCTCTACCTTTCAGCCTCATACTTTAGAGAACCCATCGCATTCAGCAAATTTTCCTCAAATAGTCAAAACTTTCTTCCTTTGTTCTGGCTCCATGCCCTGCAAGGAATTCCCTGATTACTAGATGGGTTCCGCAGTGACTATGGTACTAGGAAGCGGGTGTCTTGATAGCGAACACATGCCTTCTGCTCATTAGAAATCATACGTGTGGGACCTCTCTGGCGGTCCAATGGTTAAGACTCCGCACTTCCAACGCAGCGGGTACGGGATTGATCCCTGGTTGGGGAACTGAGATCCCACATGCAGCATGGCGTGGCCAAAAAATAAAAATAAATAAAAATAATTTTAAAAAGAAATCACATATGTATGCTCACCATGTCCATTAATAGACTGACGTCAACATGTACCTCTTTTTTAGGTAAGTGTGACTCAGTTGGGGGAAAATGATCAACTCTGGGTCACAATGACCCTAGGAAGGCACAGCTCTTGGAAGGGCACATAAGCATCCCAGCGGAAGCCTCAGGTGACCCTCATCACTCAGCCCACCTTCCCTATTTCAGAAGGTAAGCCCATCCCCCCCCCATCTGTCCAAGCCTGAATCCTTAGCATCATCTCTGAGAGCTCCGAAGCCCTCCACACCCAGAAGTCCTAGAAATCCCACCTTATGACTATTTCTTTTCTTTTTTTTTTTTTTTTTTGCGGGCCTCTCACTGTTGTGGCCTCTCCCATTGCGGAGCACAGGCTCCAGAGGCGCAGGCTCAGCAGCCATGGCTCACGGGCCCAGCCGCTCCGCGGCATGTGGGATCTTCCCGGACCGGGGCACGAACCCGCGTCCCCTGTATCAGCAGGTGGACTCTCAACCACTGCGCCACCAGGGAAGCCCATGACTATTTCTTCATCCATCCCTTCATCTCCCTTCCAAAGGCACCGCCCGCAGTGCAGGCCGTCACTACCCTTCAGGTTGCAGCTCCCTAACCTGGTGCCCCTACCTTCTGTCTCTCACTTTTTTCCAAAAACACTCTCCACAAAGCCAGAGTTCTTCTTCAAAGCAAATGTGATTTCATGTCTCCACTGAAAGTCAATAGCTTCTGCCTGCTCTCAAGATAAAGTCTAACCTGTTCCGGCACCATATAAACCCCTGCGGAGCTGGCCCTGGGACTACATTTCCAGTCTCTCCCTTCTCATTCCTCTCCTACCCACATTCCAGCCATACCAACTACCTGGAATTCTTGAACCGGTTCTGCGCCTTTTTGTACCCTGCACCTTCACACGCAGTTCCCTCTGTGAGAAGTGTCTGAGGAGACGGCTATGTTTCTATTCAAAATTCAGTTCAGACATCACAGTCCCTGCACTGTCGTCCTAAGCGCTCCTCCCCACAAGAGGAAAGTCGTCTCGCTTGCTCTGAGGGGGCCTCTTTCCCAGCTGCTTGTAAGCCTCTTCCTCTCCCTACTTCTTGGTTTCCTCCTGAAGGGTTACGGTTAGATGAATGAGCTATTACTGCCTAGAGCCTATCTGGACAGAATATCTCAGCATCCGACCTGTACTGGTTGCTCATTAAACAAGAGCTGAAGGAAGAAACTCATGAATCGTATGCCCCTAAATTCTTACTTACAATCTCGGTTGCCCTTCTGAACCTTCTTCCAGATCTCTATGTCCCTCTGAAGATTATTAGAGATAGAACAAAGTCCTATAAGCAACCGAGAGAGAGGAATTTTAATCATAATCATTAATACTTTACACTTGAGTCATGATTTATGGTTTTCACTGAATCTCATGTCATGCTCACAGGAGTCTGGAAGTAACAGTCACTACACACAGTTATAGAGCCCAGCCTCAAACACAAGTCTGGTATGCTTTTCATTCTATCAGGCTTGTCTCAAATATATGCCATAAATCCAGCACGAAACTCTGTCTTTTATTAACTGGGGAGCTGTCTAGACTAATTGTAACTGTGGCTACTCTGCATGTATTCTTAGGAGGGTGCACATGTGTGTGTATGCGTACTTGGGTGCACAAGAGTTTGAGTACATCTCTATTCCCAAATTAGAAGCAGCAAATTAAAAAGACTGATGAAGGCAGGCCCAATGCCAGAATCAAGGAACAATAGCTGTCAGAGACAACACACATCAAAATCATGAAAGAATAAAACCTGAGGCACTGAAGTCGGGCCAGCTGTCTGAGGCCACTGAGGAAGCAAACATTCATCCCCAGACCAGGGGCCTCAGTCATACAAGCTTTGACATGTGCAGTGGTGACCCTGAGTCACCAGAAAAAAAAAAAACAAAAAAACCTCAAGTTATGAGGGCAAGCAGACATATCACTGGTTTTAAAGAGATTTCAACCAAGATGGCTAATATAGAATTCTGGTGCTTAAAGGGATGCAGCCCTCTTGGAAATTTTACTTAAGTGGAATAATCCTTACTCTACACAAGATACGTAAGTATATGTCCACGTTTGAGGGGACCCCGAGACCAACAGATCCTAAAATTAGTTTCATCAGAAAGTCAGCCCACCAGCTCATCGGTAAACGATGCCAGAGAAACTACAGGTCACATTTAAGACCTCAAGGGAAAACCCCCTTCCTGCAACCTAGGGCAGTGCCTTTGTACCTCCCTGACCGTTGCCAGAATGACAAACAGCCCCACACACAGACATGAGTCTGAATCCACACATGGGCACACGAAACACCACGGGAGGAGCCTACAGAGGACAGCCGGCTCTCTGCACAACAGTCAAAAGAGGGAGGCTGGAGAGGAAGCTGAGAGTAAAATGAGGCAGTGGAGAAACTGAAAGGAAAGAGCATATGAGGCTGATTGAGAGGGTTGATCCAGCAAGCAATTGTACCTGGTGCAAAATGCCTGTCCCCCCCACAGCTGCCCCTGAAACTGACAGGACCGCTCAGCTTCTCCACAGCCGGGGGTGGGCGGGGTCTCCAATGTCCCAGGGTCTCTCACGCTGCGAGGGCACTTTTCTAGAACAGAGGCAGCTGAGGGAAGGGGTTGCAGAGGATCAGCCTCTCAGCACCTCCAAAGTGGCTTTGCTGAACGTACAAATTTAAATAATATTTTATTTATGAGATGGAGAAAAAGGCAAGGTAGATTGAAATGACAGTTTTAAGAATCTAGGCCACAAAGAAGGTAAATTGGTGCAGCTACTATGGAAAACAGTATGGAGCTTCCTCAAAAAAACTAAAAACAGAGTTGCCATATCATCCAGCAATCCCACTCCTGGGCAGATATCTGGACAAAACTATAATTCAAAGAGATAACATGAACCCCTATGTTCATAGCAGCACTATTTACAAGAGCCAAGACATGAAAACAACCTAAATGTCCATCGACAGATGAATGGATAAAGAGGACGTGTAACATATATACGGTGGAATATTACTCAGCCATAAAAAAGAACAAAATCATGCGTTTTGCAGCAACATGGATGGACCGAGAGATTATCATACTAAGTGAAGTCAGACAGAGAAAGACAAATACGATATGATATCACTTATATGTGGAATCTAAAATATGACACAGGGACTTCCCTGGTCGTCCAGTGGTAAAGAACCCGCCTTGCAATGCAGGGGATGTGGGTTCGATCCCTGGTCAGGGAACTAAGATCCCACATGCTGTGGGGCAACTAAGCCCATGCACCACAACTACTGAGCTCACGCACCTCAACTGGAGCCCATGTGTCACAAACTACACAGCCCACACACTCTGGACCCTGCACACCACAACTACAGAGCTCGCGCACCCTGGAGCCTGCACGCCACAACTAGAGAGAAGCCCACACGCCGCAACGAAGAGCCCACGCACCGCAACAAAAGATCCCGCGTGCCTCAGTGAAGATCCCACGTGCTGTAACTAAGACCCAACGCAGCCAAAATTTTTTAAAAATTGAAAATAAATAAATAAATAAAATACGACACAAATGACTTATCTATGAAACAGAAACAGACTCACAGACATAGAGAACAGACTTGTGGTTGCCAAGGGGGAGCGGGGAGGGGAGGGATGGACTGGGAGTTTGGGATTAGCAGACGCAAACTATTACACATACAATGGCTAAACAGCAAGGTCCTACTATATAGCACAGGGAACTATATTCAATATCCTGTGATAAACCATAATGGAAAAGAATATGAAAAAGAATGTATACATAAGTATAACTGAATCACTTTGCTGTACAACAGAAATTAACACAACATTGTAAATCAACTCAACTTCAATGAAATAAATTTTTTAAAAAAAGAATCTAGCCCACAGAAAAACTCATGCAAACGCAATAGGATATTCACTGGAGTGTTATCTGTAAGACTGAAAAACTGGAACCAACTGAAGTGGCCATTACCAGAGGCCTAATTAGCTAAACATACAATACATCCTTAAAATTAACATGGAATAACATGAAGCATTGTTTTAAAGTAGATCTGTAAATCGAAAAGAGCATCACTGATAAATTCTGGGGAAAAAACCAAACTGTAGAATTACATGTGTACTATGATCCCATTTTTGTAAAACAGAACAAAACTACATCCCTTGAAAGAAGAAGAAAAATGTCAGCAAAGGTAGAGACTGCTAATGATGTTTACCATAGGAAGTTGGGAGAAAGGATTTTTTTTTTCTTGGACACTGATGCTGTTTGAATTTTCACACTTAGCGTACATTAATTTAACAACAACAAAAAAGTGTCTGTCAGAGGCATTCCTTTCCATCTCCTTCTTACTGACTAAGCAGACTCACGTGCTGGCCTCTGCCCCACGCTCCACCCCACCCCTCCTGCCCAGCCCCACTTACAGATGCAGGCAGCAGCCAGCAGGCGGCCAGCAGCATAGGGGGCTAAGCAGTTCGGGAAGATGGGCTGCACCATGTAGTTGGCAAAGGTGATGGCAATGATGGCCTGGCTGGTGGGCTCGATGATGAGGAGGGAGGTCCAGAGTCGGATGAAGGCAAGGAGCTCTCCGAAGGCCTCGAGGATGTAGGCGTAGCTGGCCCCAGATTTCTTAATGGTGGTGCCCAATTCCGCATAACAAAGGGCCCCAAAGACGGAGAAGAGGCCCCCAACAGCCCAGATGACCAGGGAGAGGCCAAAGGAGGCACTGTATATGAGCACGCCTTTGGGGGAGACAAAGATGCCCGAGCCAATCATGTTCCCCACAATCAGGCACACGCCGTTCAGCAGCGAGATCTCCTTCTTCAGTTTTACCTGCTCCGACCTGGGGCTGGCTTCATCTGCCAAAGGGGAGGCGTCCCTCTCATGCTGGGAGGCCACTTCATACTTAACGCCGTCGACCATGGTGGAGGAGGAGAAGAAAGCCTTCACCAGCTTTCTGGCATTGCCCTCTAAGGAAGAAAGGTGAAGATATATAGCAGGTTGGCAATTACAGAGAACTCTCCTCCACAGGGGCCAGAGTGGGCAAGCCACCCACGCCCACCATTTCAGAGACCTCTCTCTCACGTCCCACTTCCCATGAACCTCTTTTCCATCTGGCTCGAGTCTTTAAAGGATGGCACTCATTCCCCAGAGAGAAAGCATGTTTCTCATCATTAGACTAGCACTGCCCACCTGATTTACAAGATAGAAAACTAAATCCCGGTTCTATCTGAGCTCACTGGAGACAGGAAGACGAACAATTTGGCAGCTCCCACATGTAACCATAATGATTTGAGCCTGTGCTTTTCAGCCTTACCCAAAAAAAAGTCTGTCTTCCCTCCAATTTCAGTCTCACCTGTCACCTGTGATGAGATGCAACCTTGGGAGCCAACCTTGCAAGCAGCTAGTCTGTGGGTTCTCCTCACAACACTGCCCTTTTCCCCCAAGGACCCTGGCTCTGGCAAAGGCTTCAGAGAGCTCTTGTCGGAAACTCACAACTATCCACCTGTTCCGGGAGTATCCCTTAACAACCCTCAGCTGAACTCTTCAGCCCCAGCAAAGCCCAACCAGCCCAGCCCCACCCAGCAAGAAGACAGGCCTCCTCTTCTCCGTGCTTTTCCTTTCCCAAATACCGTTCCCAGCCCCTAGGTGTTGTAGGTCTCTGGCCATGAAATCCCTGCATAGTTGCATCACCCAAAAAAAAGTATGGATGAGAGATCAGTGATCCAAACGTGCAGCCCAACCTAGAGATGACTGGAGGCAGCCGATGACCACTCCCCACCCGGCAGGTTGCTGCTGGAGAGACAGCACCAAAGCAGAGGCAAGGAAACAGCTGAAGCGGAGTAGCAAATGCTGGGCATCACAGAGCAGGAGGTGATGAGAGGAGGTCAGGCCAGGCTGGCCAAGCAAGTGGACAGATCCTAGGGCTAGAGGCACTCAGGAAAGGAAGCAATTGGACACAGCAGAGCAGCAAAGGGAGAGTGGGCAAGATGAGCGGGGCTGAGGCAGAGGGTGGGAAGCACACTCACTCTCTGGCCCTGGGTGGAAGCAGGTCCCCGAGGCAGCGGCCACACAGAGACACAGCCTCTGGGAGCTGTGATCTGACCACTCCTGCTCTTCAGCCAGTAGTAAAAGGAAAGGCCGGGCAAATGCTTATGGATTTAAGTCATATCAAGAAGTCAAGAAGGGCGGAGGGACAGAGGGAGGGGGAGAGGGGTGTTAAGCAACTGTCTGGGTCCAAGGTTCACTGGCCCTTCCCGTCTGCAAGGGGCAGGCTAGGAGCTCTTGGCTCAGCACTTTCTGTGATAAGAACGCCCTCTCTCAGAAATCTCCTTTGTCAGCTCTGCTCCAGGACCAGGCGCCCAGAAGAAAGGATGGACGGTCAGCTGGGTGGGTGCAGTTTCTGCAGCCCTGGGGAAGCTGTCCCCAAGCAAAGTAGCTGAGGACAGGGCTGCGGCTGAGAAAGAATGCACAGCCCTCTCTCTCTCCAGGCCCCGGCTTAGCCCCACTTCTCTCTCACCCTGAACAAGAAAGGCAGGAAGGTTGCACATTGTGCCACAGAGGCTTGTTCACATGCAGATTAGAGGAAGTGTAAGTACAGTCCAACTCGTGATCGGGCGTCCTAAGAGAACTCTGCACACTTCCCCACACAGAGTGAGAGGTGGCCGCCCGAAACTTGCGTCATGACCCCAAGGCTGATCCTCAAGCTGCTTCCGAGGAAACAAGGTCAAGAAATGAGACTGAAACCTCTGGCTGCATCCATGCCCAACTCACAGGCCCTTTCATCCTTAAGAAAACATACCAGGATCTATGGGCTAAGCATAAATTCCTATAAACACCTTCCCCAAATACAAGTTTACTCTAATTTCCTAAAACTATGGGTAAGTAAGTTTTCACTGAGCTATACTGGACAGGCCCAGAACAGACAGAGGAAATTGAGCAATTTGGGGAAAGCATATATTCTGTTTTTAGAGTCTACTTAACTCCGGTATCCTGGGTCTCCTTTACCAACAGAAATACACCCTACTTATTCTGAAATCCAACTGTCTTTCTGTTCCTTCTCGTGCCCTTTCAAACCCCCTTTGGTTATTCAACTACCAGAGAACAAAGATCTAAAAAGCCCTGGGGTAAGGGGGGTGCTTATCTTTACCCTACAACCTCTCCTTCTCGTCCCTTAAACTTTTTTTTTCACCCAGGAGGGGGACCCCGATGTTAGCCTTCCCAGAGATCATATCTCCCAAGCCACTCTCACAAAAACTTCTGAAATCCATCCAGAAGACTGTCCTTTTCTCCCAGCTCCCACTTAAACGTTCCTATAATAATAGTAACTCATTTATTGAGCACTTAACCAAGCCAGACATATTGCTAAACACCTACATGTCTTATCTCATTTAATCCCCCCAGCAGCCCCTTAAGGCAGACACTAAGTAAGTCACCTGCCAAGATGCCATAGCAAGGGAGGCAGGTAGGTTAGCCAACAAAGCCCAAGCTCTGTGCTCTCTCTCCAACCTCCCCACCCGCTCTGACCTGCCCAGTCTCTAGCCCTCCTCTAAGGCAGGAAAGCCCTTTAGATGGCTCTCTAATGAACTACCTGGGGGAGGATGTGATTAGATTAAAAGAAAGTCTCTGCTGTCCTTCAGTCTAAAGTCTAGGCTAGGGCGCAGTGGTTAAGAATCCGCCTGCCAGTGCAGGGGACAAAGGTTCGAGTCCTGGTCCGGGAAGACCCGCACGTGCCGCGGAGCAACTAAGCCCGTGCGCCGCAACTACCGAGCCCGCGCTCTGGAGCCAGCGAGCCACAACTACTGAAGCCAACACACCGCAACGAAGAGTAGCCCTCGTTCACCGCAACTAGAGGAAGCTCGCGTGCAGCAATGAAGACCCAACAAAGCCAAAAATAAGTAATAAATAAAATAAATAAATTTAAAATAAAATAAAGTCTAGGCTAAAGGCTCCAACAAAGCCCATCCATCTCCTTCCTGGCTGCTCCTCCCCTTTCTCATCCCTTTGCAGGAACGAGAAACGATTACAAGTCCTCTTGGCAGTGCTGCTATATTGCTAGGGTGCCCACTTCTAAAGCAAACAAAAACACACGGAAACACATCATCACGCTGGGCCTTTTAAGATCAAATTCCCTGGCACCAAGGGTGAGCATGTGTCCTAATGGGGCATAGGGAAAAGGAGTGAAGGGGCGACAAATGAAGGGGAAACTGTAAGGTTAAGTGGGGAGAGACGTGTGCAGGGTTTATTTTCTGGCTGGTGGTATCTGAAAGGTGAAATCATCATCGTGGAATCTTGAGACAAAAACCCACTGGGGTGAAATCCACACTCCAGCAAACAGCACACCCTAGTGGTCTCACCAGGAAGTGCTTATCTATATGAATGGAATCCCTTTCCTAGCCTACTCTTCAGTAGACCCACTCAAACTGGATGGAGGAGGCTGACTTCAGAGAAAAGATGCCCCCTCTTTTCTCAACCACTGCCCAGCACCAGCTCCGTGGGCAGGAAGGTACCATCCTTGGCGGCTCGCATTCCCTCCTGAGACCCCAGCTCTCAGGGTCATGCCTCCACCATTCAGGCAGCCTGGAACCAGCAGGACCTGTCCTGAAGTGCTCTCCCACCCCAGGCTTTACAAGAGAAACTTGCAGAGCCTGGAATCCCAGGCGATAACAGAGTTCCAGATACGCAGCACCCCGTCTCCTTCCTGTCTGAAGTGCATACCTCTCTGAGGACCTAGTGGAGATTACTGGACAACACACTCATCCTACAGGAGAAGTTTCAGATTCAGGGGTTCAGGGAACACAGGGAGCAGGGCCCCAGCAGGCAGGGAAGCCCCGCACCCTGACCCCACCTGTGAATATGGCAAAACCAAAACACGCTTCCTCCAGGGAACAGCATACCGTTCAGCGTCTTGGTTCCTCGGTCAAGCTCAGGGAGCTAAGGTGAAAAGACACTTTCTTCCCCAGACACCCGCATCCTGCCTTCCTAGCTCCCACTGGGCTGTGCTGCCTCCCCGAATATCAGGAACAGAAAACAGACACACTCTGCTCCAGATGGATTCCCCCATCTCCCCAAGCTGGGAGCTCAGTTACTCCCTCCCCCATTCTCCATTTGTTTTTCTATATTCCACTGTAGCTATGACAGTCCCTTTAAAAAAAATTTTTTTTTTAATTGCAGCAAGAAAGAAAGTGTTTACTTCTGTGGCCAGGGCCTCCACGAATGCAGCGCTGAAGTCTCTGGGCAGAGGGCTCTGCATGGGGAGGGCTGGGGCTGGGAAAATAACAAGCTCACGGGTCTCCGGTCCAGCCAGTTCTCAGGACTCACTCCATCCTCCTCTGACACTTCCCCTCTCGCCCATCGTCCCTCCTCTCCCATCTCTTACCTGTCCTGAGATCTTCGGGCAGGTGCGAGGAGGAGGAGGTACCAGCACTCGGGAGGAGGGGCAGGTGCTGGGAAAGGGAACCCGGGGTAAGGCTCGAGCTCCAGCAGCTGTTGACTCTGAAGAGCAGAAAAGGCAGAGTGTGACTCCGGGGACCGATCTGGAAAACAGGAAAACACATGTGTGACTCTGGCCGGCAGCAGGGAGGGGCCAGGGAACGGGTTGGAGCTGGGACAGCCTGTTCAGACCCAGAGGACCTCAACGCCTGCCTGCCTCCAGGCACCTTCTCCACTCGGAGCCTCAGCTCCTCCTCCCCTCTACCTCAGCCCCTGAACTTCCTGCTTGTCCTGCATTTACTGAGGTCTTGAGTTTTCCCAGTGACCTAGGACCTAGGTGCTCTCCTGATGCCCTTTACAACTCCCCTCCCCGCTCATTCCATTCCCTACTCATCTCCCACTCACATACTCTCCTTGGCCCTGTGGAGGGCATAGGATCCATGGTTAGGGCGTTGGAACTCTGTGGTCCCATCTCAAGAGCCTCAGTGCCATTTCAGCCCCTATGTAAGCCATGCATACCAAGGAAGGCCAGTTGTGGGGTTATAGCCACGCACACACCCAAACACTAAGCAAGCCCGCTCACGTATCAGGTCCCCAGGTGGTTCACGTGATGCAAGTGTTGCCAGGTAAGAGCCGGCCAAGTGGACCAGAGCAAGCCCTGGCACCCTGGGCAAGCCAGGGAGTTGGCACCCCCTCAAACCAGCATTATTTAAATATCTGTTGAATGTTTATGTAGCAGAAGTGGGGGAATACCGATTTTCTCGGAATAAAAACTGGAAGCCTCATTCTTTCTCTTCAAAATTAGAGCTTAATGCATGAATTCATTACATGCAGTTTTCTGAAGCAGACAGTTTCTTGGTAGGCATATCAAACCATTCTGAATGTAGACAATGGCATAAATCTCAGGGAGTGGCACGTCACAGCGCATAGCACATTTTCAGAATTCCAGCTGTGATCACTGCCTCTAGGCAACTATCAGTTGTCTGGTCTAACCCTGCAACTTGTACCTGTACCTGCGTGTTGCAGAATTATTCTAGAGACAGGTGGTCTAGGTGAGCAGTCGTCAAGGATTCTGTCAGTGGAGGGGAGCCAACTTACAGTTCACCAAGAGACAGAAGTCCGAGCTCATTGGCTCCAAACGTCTGAATTACCCTAAGGATAATTTAGCGCCCTTTTAGACCCAGGCTGCTTGCCCAGCTGGCCTGCCCCTTAATCCCACTCTGGGCTCAAATCCAAGTTGTAAATGAGGGAAGTTCCTAGGAAGACAGCCCTAAAGCTGCCCCTCTTGGCACTGGCCCCTGTTCCCTCTCCCTCACTGCAGCCACACTGGTCTCCTTGCTGTTGCCACACAAGCATGCTCCCTGCCACCTCAGGGCTTCTGCAATGGCTGTTCCTTCTGCCTGGAACATTCTCCATGTTACTGTTCATTCCCTCACTCACTCCATTCAGGTCTGTACTTAAACACCACTCTAATCAGAGACCTTCCCTGAGGAGTCTCGGAAGGAGTAACTTCTTCCCTTTGCCAATCTCCATCCGCTTCACCGGCCGGACTTTTCTTCAAAGGCACCCACTATCACCTGGAGTTTGTTTGTTTGCTGTCACCTCCCCCACTAGCATGCAGCACCACCAGAGCTTTACTCGCTGGCATCCCCAGCGCAAGGCCCGTGCAGACAAACGAATGTTTGCTGGAAGCATAAATGAATGAACAATGCCCTTCCTCCCAGACTGATTTCCCAGTTGGGCTCCGGGAATGTCCTGAACTTGCCCTTCAGGCCCACCTATGCTGCAGCTGCTCTGGCTCCTAATCGACGAGTTTTGAGGGGGGAGGGTATTTATTCTTTTTGATTGTAATGGGTTGAAGGAAAGGAAGAGAGTATAGTTTTCACAGTTTTACTTGGCGGTCTAGAATGATTTGAAAGGGACTTTCCGCTTCCTCAGTGGTAAAACAAAAACAAAAAGCCCCTCATCTAACGCGCCTTCCCCGGCTTGGAAGCTCCCGGCTGCTCTGCCCCACACCCAGGCTCAGGTGGCCGGTCTGGGTGCGGCGAGCGCAAGGTGCGACGTCCGCGAAGAAGGAGTGAAAGGGCAGAGGGGACAAAGGCAGAGGGAGGCAAGCGCTCAGGCTCAAGCAAATGCAAGCGGGTTCGAGGAAAAGTGGAACTGCACGCCCTTCGGCGGGAACTCTCCCCAGACCCGCCCCCGCTGCGCTCCTCGCCCCGCCCCACCCCCCTTCCGCCCACGACCCGTCCGCGCGCAGAGCTCACCTTTGCCCGTTTCTCCCGCCCTGCCCCCCCTCCCAGCCTAGCTCTCCCGGCCCTGCCCTCTGACGTCGTCCCCGCCGTTTCCCGTTACTTCCCTCTTTTTCTCGGCCCCCGGTTCCGTGTCTGCGGCCCGAAGATCTCTCCTTCGCACCTCGACCCAGCCACCGCCCGCCCCCAAAGGCCCTCTGGGAGGCTCGGTCGCCTCCAAAGTCCAGGTCTGGCTGCGGCGGCCGAGGCGGGCTCTGCCCTGGGGCACCAGGACCCCACCCCACCCGGACTCCTTCGTTCCCTCCACCTGGCCAAGCAGTCCCCGCCCCCCCCCCACGGGCTCCAGGAAGCGCTAGAAGAGAGCTTGTGGTCGGTGTAGGCGAAGATCGCAAAGGTCCGAGAACCGAGAGGCCCCGCAAGCCGCTACCCTGCCCTGTCCTGGCTCAGGCACAGCTGCGCTGCCCCTGGGAAATGAAAATGACCGCGGATACCCTTAGACGCTTCCTCCGCCCCAGGAACGCTCAGCTTCCTCTTCCCCCCCTCCCAATCCAGCTCGAGCTGGCGGGCCCGACGGGGGTCTGGGCAAGGGCCCCGAACCCAGGCAACCCCGCCTCCAGCCCCGAGACGCTCTCGACTGAAACTCGGGAGGGACTGTGGATCGACAAGCTCCGTGGGGGAGGGGAGGGAGCGGCGCCCGCTTGGAGCCAGGGGAGGGGTCTCCCGGAAGGGCGACTCCACTCTCCGCCCCCTCGGGGAAGCTGTTGCATCAGCTTCAAGATCCCAAATTAAAGAA